GTATTTTGGCACGAGAAAAACGAATTCGACGTTTTATTTTTAAACAAACCCTCATTTTTAAAAATGGCCACCGATTAAAGTTCAAAATTGTCAACAATTGGCAACCTCGACTTTTTGCCGATGGATTCGCCTGAAACTCGATGTTTGGGGGTATCTGGGTGGGAGAAAAACGATAAGCTGAGAATCCTGAAGCTGAAGCTTGAAATTTAACAGGAATCCATCGGCAAAAAGTCGAGGTTGCCAATTGTTGACAATTTTGAACTTTAATCGGCGGCCATTTTGAAAAATGAGGGTTTGTTTAAAAATCTAACGTCAAATCCGTTCTTCTCGGGTCAAAATACCCCCTGATACCGAATTTGAGGTGAATCCATCGTCAAAAAATCGAGTTTGTCGAAATTTCGAGCCTAAACCGGCGGCCATTATGAAAAATTAGGATTTTTTTAAAAATCTACCGTCAAATTCGTTTTTCTCGTGCCAAAATACCCTTAGATACCGAGTTTCAAGCAAATCCATGCGCAAATAGCAGAGGTGCCAATTTTCGGCCATTTTGAACTTTGACCGGCCGCCATTTTGAAACGGTTTGAGATAACGACTTCGGGTTTGCGAAAAAATTTTTCTTTTTTTATGCTCTTTCGAACGAGGTATCACAAAGGGGGTCTTCCCATTTGAAAAAAAAAAGTTAGGGTCCGTAACCCCCCCAAGGGGGGGCCCCCCAAAATTTTGAGGGGATCAAAAAGTAGCTCCCTTTGATCTAAGAACACCCTCCAAGTTTCAAATCTCTACCTCAACTAGGTCAAAAGTGAGAGGGGGGGAGGGGACTTTTCGAACACCCTGTAAATGAAAGTTCTGCATTTGCGAAGATAAATAGGTATGCACTTGGTATCTCACCCGAACCAATAAGAGAGCTATTAAAACCCCATTAAAGAGGAATAGAAAGAGCCTCGCCAAGTTTAGCCCCTTTTTTTCTATACCCGAGTTGATCAACCGGACGATGCTCAAATGAAAGCCTATGGTAAGGCAAACTTCCATGCAAAGTACCAACTTGAAGTGACCCCTCGTTTAGGCTGTACAGCGCTGCCAATTTTCCATTTTTTGCGGTATACTCAACGAATACTGAATCATCATGGTTCAACAGACTAGTACACCCGAGTTGGTCAACAGGACAAGGCTCAAACGAAAGCTTATAGTAAGGCAAACTTCCATGCAAAGTTTCAACTTGAATTGAAACCTCGTTTAGGCTGTACAGCGTTGCCAATTTTCCATTTTCATGAGGTAATATCGAGGAATTCTGGATCATCATGGTTCAACAGACTAGTACACCCGAATTGGTCGACGGGACAAAGCTTAAATAAAAGCTTATGGTAAGGCAAACTTCCAGGAAAAATTTCGATCTTGAAGTGAAACCTCATTTAGGCTATTCTGCGATGCCAATTTCCATTTTTAGGTGCAAAAATTAAGGAATACTGGATCATCATGCTTCAACAGACTAGTACACCCGAGTTGGTCAACGGGACAAGGCTCAAACGAAAGCTTATGCTAAGGCGAACTTCCAGGAAAAGTTTCAACTTGAAGTGAAACCTCGTTTAGGCTGTACAGCGTTGCCAATTTTCCATTTTATGTGCGAAAATTGAGGAATTCTGGATCACCATGGTTCAACAGACTATTACACCCGAGTTGGTCAACGGGACAAGACTCAAACGAAAGCTTATGGTAAGGCAAACTTCCAGGAAAAGATAAACTTGAAGTAAAACCTCGTTTAGGCCGTACAGCGTTGCCAATTTTCCATTTTTATGTGCTAAAATCGAGGCATTTGGGACTAATAGTCCAGTGCATCATAATTAAACAGACTAGTGCATCGATCTACGAGCTGAATACTACCGTGAGATCGAATAGGAGCACAACTAAAGGCCATCGTGAACTTTTCGAAGCAGTGTTGCGAAATTATTAATTAATATTATAATATTATAATATTAATTATTATTAAGTATTTTCGAGATTTTTGGCGAAAAACGTACCTTTATGGGCTATAACTTTGATGAGTTTAGGCTAAACCTTACGACTCGATAGTAAATGAACGCTACAGACGGAGAAACCAACGCACACGGAACGCAACATTGCGTTCGGAATTCAATTTTCTCCGTCTGTAGCGATCATTTACTATCGAGTCGTAAGGTTTAGCCTAAACTCATCAAAGTTATAGCCCATAAAGGTACGTTTTTCGCCAAAAATCTCGAAAATACCCTAATTTTATGTTAAAAAATTTAATAATTAATTTCGCAACACTGCTTCGAAAAGTTCACGATGGCCTTTAGTTCTGCTCCTATTCGATCTTACGGTAGTATTCAGCTCGTAGATCGATGCACTAGTCTGTTTAATTATGATGCACTGGACTATCAGTCCCAAATGCCTCGATTTTAGCACATAAAAATGGAAAATTGGCAACGCTGTACGGCCTAAACGAGGTTTTACTTCAAGTTTATCTTTTCCTGGAAGTTTGCCTTACCATAAGCTTTCGTTTGAGTCTTGTCCCGTTGACCAACTCGGGTGTAATAGTCTGTTGAACCATGGTGATCCAGAATTCCTCAATTTTCGCACATAAAATGGAAAATTGGCAACGCTGTGCAGCCTAAACGAGGGGTCACTTCAAGTTGGTACTTTGCATGGAAGTTTGCCTTAACATAGGCTTCATTTGAGCACTGTCCGATTGATCAACTCGGGTATACAAAAAGGGGCTAAAAAACACCACTTTTTGGCGAGGCTCTTTATATGAAAAATAAATGTATCCATAATTTCTTTCCCCGAAAATTTCCGCAAGAACCTCGTGAAGCGCATTTTGCCCGTTTCGGTTGTCCTTATCGGTAAATGGACGAATACCCCGAGTAAATCTGTGCTGTTCGACACAAACATCCCTGGGACACGGAAAAATTAGAAGGAAACACGCCGACTGCATCAATATCATTGATGTTTTTTGGTATTTGAAATCCATTTTGGAAGAGACAGGGGTTTCGTGAACAAGTCAATGGTGCATTTAGCAATGCACTGAACATGTGACAACTCTGCGAAGGGCTTGTTTTGAGGAGGAAGGAAAACAAAAAGAGTCCACCGCGAAGTCACCCCCATTCATTCCTGAGGGTTGCAGACAATCAGGCGGCGAGACGGAAGAACGGAGAAAGCGTGGCCGAAGTGCTCAAGGTCATTTGCTGAAGAGCCCCGTGCCGACCAAATACAAGGCCGGGCTCAGACGGCAGCCGCTAAGGATTTTGAGGAAAGGCTACATTTTTCACATTTCACGCGGGGTTTGGGAATATGCGGGCCGCGAGCCGTGGGTCCGGCTTCAAAAGTTGAAACCTATGTTGGTCCCTAAGCCAGCATCAAACCTAGCATCAGCGCTCAATGCTGGCTCGGACGGCACGTCGGCATAGGGCTTCGATGCCCGAAGCCGGCGCCGGCAGGTTGCGCGCATTAGGCGCGACGCCGCATGCCCGCACGGCCGCTACCTGGGCATACGGCATTAATGCTGAAGCTACGAGCCGATGCTGTACGGCATAACCTCATGAGGCGCCTCAAATGCCTGCTATCGATCTTTAGACGATTATCACCTTTTTAATCTACTATAATATGTTCTCTGAAAATTGGAGGCCCAATTTTTCAGTTCCCCCCCCCCCCCAAGAAAAAAAAAATATGTGAAATTTGCCTTTAAAATAATAGATAAGAACTTTATCCTTTGACCCTGCTAGGCTCTCCTCGGAGCTACGAAAATATCCCTTGATGAAATAATTCTTGCACCCTCCTTATCTACCATGAAAAGAGTCTAAAATTTTAAGTCCCAATTTTCACGTGCTTGCCAATTAATTAAGAACTATTTGTAAAAAATTGAAAATAGTGGTATTTTCCATGCAATTTGTCCATCGGATGGTCAAAAATACTGTCTTATTTTTTGTGGCCCGTTCCGCCCCAAACTTTTTTTGAGGCAGATTCTAAGCATCGATAACGCAAGAAAAATGCATTATTGCCTTTATATTGTGTCCGTGTCATTCTCTTACATGTAACTCTTTAACTACAAAAAACCCTCAAAAAGGGTAAATATTCCGCCAAGCCTATGAGATCTTATCACAAAATTAGTAGGTATGTATCCAAAAAAAAATTAAAAAAGGAGAGGGGGGGGGGATAGTAATCTCTTGAAAATTACAAAAGGAGAAAAGAAAAGCAGCTCTTTCAAACTCTGTTTTCAATTTCAAACCTCAAAATGTCTGATATCATTTGAGGTCAAGATTTTTTAAGTACAGGTACGCCCCAGAACTAGAACGAGCAGACGGGGAATTAATTCTGCTGAGAGTCCCCTTCAGTTAGTCTCGGACGCAACCAGGTTACCTGTGAAGCTAGTTTAGTTGCCTGGGTCACTAATACAAGGAAAGATAATTGGATTTGATTCCTGATGCGAGAAGATGGCGAGGGATAAAACAAGCAGTTCTTTTTTCAGTCTCAAACCTCAAAATATTTGATATCTTTTGAAGTCAAGATTTTTTACCATCTCCTCATCTCACTTTCATTTTCGTTTTGCATTTTAGGCAATAAATTCCACTCTCATACATCATTAAACTTTCTTTAATTTTTTGCTAATTATTCCCCTTCATTTCAGGTAGCCGCAACTCTTCTTACCTACAATAGCTATGTAAGGAACCATTGTATAATACTTACGAATCCGGGTCTTTGTAAGGATGTAAACACAGAAAATGCCGGTCAATAATTCTCATTTTTTAATTTCTTTCAATTTTACTCACATTCAAATTACTTTGACATTCAAAACTGTAGTTTATTCGAAAAGTAAACTCAATTACCTACAGTTTCAGAAAAAATTGAGCTCTCCAAAATTATTTCTTGCTCTGTAGTGAATTTTTGGAACTATTTTTGGAAATGAAGCGTCCCCATAGAGGCACGTGATATTTGAACCATGCAAACATTCTCAGTTGAAGTTTAGAAAATGAACAAAAAACACTCACCAACTTGCTTGTAATCAATTGGGTCAAGAAAATCCACTTTGCAACAATGAATCCGAACAAGTAGAACTGGTATAAGTACCGAGGAACACTTGAAACCATATGGGTGCATTGTAGAAAAATCTAAAGCACTCTGTAACGTAAGAGAAAAATTAGCACCATGATTTAATAGCTGATCAAAACAGCAGCCTGATTGTTGATATTTTGTGTTTGTCGGGTAGACGTACATGACATAGGTAAGAAGGCGGAGCAAGATTGGTCGGCCATGTCTTATCGCTGCTTTATCATGCCTTTATCAGGTGGCAAAGCACCGACACAATGCCATTTTTTAGTTTATTTTTAGAGAAGAAAAATGCACCTTTCAAAACATGCGACATCATCCCTCAACACCGATAAAAATGAAGCTTAAATAATTTAACGACTTACTCTGATCATTGATGATATGAAGGTAGCCGTCGATTCTCTACCCGGAGTTCCTTCAACACATGACAGGGAATGTCGAGAGACACAGAGCGAATGGCACTAAGCAGCAATGTACATCTGATATGGCAAGTTCCTGGAAGTGTCGATCTGCAAAAATACCAAGCAAGAGACAGATCATCCAATTAATCTACCTACAATTAATGACCGTCAATAGAGACATACCTTAAGATACATTACAATAAATCATCCACCATTTGATAACAGAACGAATTCAAAGTGAGAGTTGGACTCTTCCTTCTGGAGGGAGGGCTAAGAAAAACTTAAAAATTGACCACTTTACTACTTACCGGTCTGAGCCACTGAATGAAACACAGTCCACCAGTCGATAAAATTTAAAACTCAGGGACCCACCATCCAATGTTGCTGGGATACATTGAGTTTCTGATACACAGAACAGTTCATTCGTGTTGAAGCTCTAGTGATTCTAGATATTTTAAAATCAGACAACTTTCATATGTCCTACAAGAGATGAAGTAGATGCAACCAAACTTTAAGTATACTTCATTCTTTTGAAGACACAAGGAAAATGCAGGTGGTGTGAAGATGTTCATGGATGTTCCTACAGACTTACTGGAGCACTCGCCTGCAATAGTTAGGAAGTTTCTATTCGTGATAAGAGTCCGCTCCAAATAAGATTAGCACCTTCAGAGTGCAACAGCGGATTCACCATCTCACTTTTGCCCTTTTTTTCAATGCTAAATTGATGAAAGATTATCTTCCGTCCCAGCAAAGGAGTGCGTACACTTATTTGACGTAGCCTCTCCACTCAACTTTGTAACTGCAGTAAGAAATGGCACATGGTAGTAAATGCATGCATAACTTCTTATAATTTCAATACCCAATTATTAAAAAGTTTTTGAAGTATTTGAAGGACCTAACCTAGAATCGGGATCCACATGAACGATTAAGCCCCACTGCAAATAATGGGTTAGTAGCGCTGGTCTCAGAAATGTATTTTGATGCTTGATTCTTGTCGAACAAGATTCATAAGAGATAGTTGGGGCCATCGTCTAGAGGAATATTTTACTCGCATGAGGCACCCAGATATATACTCGCAAAGAACAGGTAGAATTACATCCTATGTCACCTACAGGAAACGTGAGGTTGGCATGAAAAAAGGTACGACAAAAAAGTAAAATTAGCTACTTACTCCGGCAAACAGATAAGATGAATAAATTAAGCAATGAACAAATTCCTGCCACGGAGCTGATAGTAATGAAGTATTTATTGAAATAAATATAAAATAACTTGAAAACTTTGAAACATCTAGGCAGCGTCGGCTTGGTCTTCGTCGTATTCATATTCGTGCAAAGGCGGAGCAGAGACCGTTACAGGTTACAGATGTAGCGGCCATCTTGATGACGTAGAAAAGTACAACCGGTGTGAGGACGTAGATGTTCGATCAAGTAACCACCGTGGTACCATTATCATTATCACGAACACGAAACGAGGATGCAGAGATGAAAATTTCCATTTCCATGAAACTTAAAAAATGAAATTGATTTGATACTTATTAATAGGTAGAAAATATGCTGATGAGATACACCTACAAAAAATCATGTAAAATACCTATAAAATAGATGGATCTAAATATGTATATTTTATACCCCATAAAATATCCATTAAACACCTATAAAATAGGGTATCTGTACGATACCTATTCTATGGCACTATTTTGGCTACTAGGGATGTTCCCAAATCCTGAGAATGTAGGTATGTGCCCATTTATTTTATTATTTTTATTTATTTTATTTTTTCAATTAAGTACATACAAAAGCTGTTGAAACTGCTTATGGTACGTGTTAGGTGTTGTCCTCAAAACACTTAATTTAAACACATGTACAATAAAATTTACAACAATAATAGGTTAGTTTTCAACTGTTGAGTATTTAACAGTTATATACAGAAATTCTTCAGAAACAATCTTAACTCAGACATCTCTGTATTTAGCTATCACCTAGAAACTCATTTATGTGGTAGAACGCTTTTTTTAGGCAGAATTTTTTAAGAAGTTTAAGGAATACATTTGGATGGTCATTTTTAAATGATAGTTTTAGTGAAAGCAGTAGGGCATTAAAGAGCTGTATATCAGAGAAATTTACATTGCTTTCTGATTTGGTAAGTCTTATTCTAAGATTACTTATATTATAGTGCCTGCTATTATATGAATGTTTAGGTGTTAAATCCTCCTGATTTACAAAGTTGTAGGAGAAAGCAAATTTGATAGTTTCATAGATATATAGCGAGGGGACTGTCATTAGATTGTTTCTGCAGAAGAGATCTTTACAATTATATATTGTCAAAACAATTATTTTTCTTTATTTAACCGCCATAATGATGCAACTAGTGTATGAGAAGGCATTGAAGAAATGACTGAGTTAAATAGTACTCACTGACAGTGTTTTATCAATGTATGATATTTTATTATGCGTTGTGCTATGCTGTTGAAGGGAGCTTTGCTGTCACATCTGCTTGAGCACCCTATTTTCTTGAAGACCATCGTCATCGGTGGAGGAGGACCATTTTGTGAGGAATCCATTCTCAGAGCTCTGGTGAAGCGGTTCAATGCAGCAGATATACATATACCTCTTATCATGCGTTCAAGTATCGTTTTCACCCATGCTAGGTACGGAAAGCCTACAAGTCAACCGGCTCCAGCTAGTATCATTTGGTGTGACGTCTCTCAAAAGTAAGTTAGTTATAGCCTCCATTGGTGTTACCAAGGAGGTTTTTTTAGTCATCTGATCACGCATCAACAGCCTCAGTCATCAACTCAAATGCTGAAAGTTATGCATAATGGAGATAAGCGACAGATTTTCAATTTTTCGTTTTTAACGGGTTTCAATCATCCATGACAAAACCACCATACTTAAAGTAATATACATTTTCCAAAAAAAAATTTCATCCCAAAAGAAAGGCGCTTGAAAAACCTGGAAAGTAGGAGACAGGGCAGAAACGCATTTAATCAAATAAATCTCAGTGCAGTCATTTTCGATTCAACCCACCAAGGGCGATGCACCTTTCTTGCATTATGCCTCAGCGTTAAATTATTTGCCAACACTGGGAAAATTCAGGGAAAATGGAAATTTCCAAAGAGTGGCAACCCTGAACTTTAAGAGTGCAACAGAAGATCAGCTGTCATAACTTAAGCAGTGAAAGGAAATATGAGAATCAAGACGGCAGGTCTTCTCCAAAAGTACTTCAACTCATTGTGCGTGGATCTACGTAAAACCTGAGAAAATAAAAAATCCAAGCGGTTGGATAGGATCTTAGACGCCATATTAGCGCCAATCCAATCAACTTTGATGCAATTTGGTACTCGAGGCCACCAACCTCCACAAAAAACTGTTGGCTAACTTAGTTCATGGATGTTCTACACATTGAAAACCTGATAATTTGCACTGCTTTCTTTCTTTGTACATGTATGCGCACCGAATCTGTTAAATAGGCGGCGAAGTAGCATTTTAGTTCACATTAGCCATCTTGAACTTTTTAATGTTGAAAATTTGACTCCAAAATCGGAGTCCCCGTCGAACAATCGCCGATTACAAAGTAGCGAACTAATTGATATTTTTCAAGGCCAAATACACATCTCGGATTATTGATTTTAGAAACTTGGCAATTAATTTGAGTTTCCTTCACCGTGATCAAACTTTTTCTTAACACATGTCTTAATAAAGGCAAAAGAAACTAAGTGCAATCTCGCGTTATATGAATTTTTTGAGTTTCGTCAACACAAATCGTTAGAGAAGCTTCTGGGCTTTGTAACAAATCATAAAAAATTCAAAATCCTTCTATTGTCTAAGGAAAGTCAAAACAGTTCAGCCTTTTTCCAAAACATTCGAAAGTTTGAAAACTTACGTTGAATTGACCTTAACAACTTTATTTTGAGTCAACACCCCATCCTCTGGTTTTCTTCGATTTTACGCCCTCTCGCAACTGAGCGGAGACGATTTGGATTAAAATCCGCAATACTCATGCACCAATCACTGCAAAGATAGTGTTGCCCGTCGCCTACTATAACTAGTATAGCAGAGAGGCCGGCCGCTGGCCCTTTCATGTATGGAGCAGTTACTTAATTTTTCTGAATTGTTCTCGGGAAGCACTCGGAAAGTGATACTACCCGCAATTGTCTGATTTTCATCAAATCATATTCAGCCAATGAAATGACGCCAACGTTCCACACATCTGACCCTATTTTAAACGGTTTAGTTGCCTGCGGACCAGCTTCGGTACGTCACATGTAGAATAGAATACCGTGCATCCTGTCCTGTAACCCGTGCCCTAACGGAGATTTGGTCGGTTCGATTTACATGGGATTTTCCACAAGGAACGGAAAGTCAATTTTCAAACGCTGATTTTTGGTAGTTTCAGACAGTTTCTGCTGGATTTTCTTGCGATTATGAGTTCTATATATCCTCAAATGTACGTTTCTATCTGGTAAATCCCCAATATAGCATCGGATAAATTAGTCATACTCAATGTATCAAAGCAAGTCCCAAAAGTGAGGTTATGTCACCCCTCTGTTTACAATCTTCTCTGGGACTCGGAAGAATACTTCTTCTTCGTTTTTATGAAAAAGAACGAAGCATTGGTAGATTGAAAATACGTTACTGAGATCATGAGCATTATTTAATTCTCTAGGTTGTATTATTGCGACAGCATACTTGTGTGTGGACATCACGTGGGGATAAGTAAAACTGTAGTTGGACAACCTGCTCACCGCTATGGATACTTACATTTCTCTAGATGTTATAAAAAGATTCTAATGAATGCCTATTACCTTAATTTAACTTTACGGAGCTTATGCCAATAAGTGCCTGTCAATGCCAGTATTCGGGAAGTCTAATGTTATCGATGAAATACCTTCTAAACCTTATCAACATCGATAGGATCAAACGGAGACAAGTTCTCCACAGCGTTATTGAATGCTAGTGTCAGCTCTCCTCTAAAGGTATCAACTGAGATTGATTTAAACAATACTACCTATGAATTGGAATATTTAGAGGGAAAAATTATGGATTTTATGAAACAAAACTGAGTGGTGTATGGCTGGAAAGAATGAAGCGCAAAACTCTGGGAGGGAGAAAACAAACATTGGTGTCCAATATTCAACTAATTAGTCGCGGATGTTTTGGTTTTGTCATTATAGGTAGAATCTAAGAGAAAAACTAACGTAAGAGACGCACAGAATTGTTTTTTTCACAAATTACCTAGTGATGGAACAGAGTCCAGAATTACAGGGTGATCCAAAAGTCCCTTCCACCCCCTCTAACTTTTTACCTAATTGAGATAAAGATTTGAAACTTGGGGGATATTCCTAGGTCAAAGGGAGCTACTTTTTGGTCCCCCTAAAATTTTCAGGGGGGCCCCCCTTGGGGGGGCAACGGCCCCCAACTTTTAATTTTCAAATGGGAAGACCCCCTTTGTGATAGCTCGTTCGAAAGAACATAAAAAAAGAAAACTTTTCGCGCAAACCCGAAGTCAATATCTCAAACCGTTTCAAAATGGCGGCCGGTTAAATTTCAAAATGGCTGAAAATTCACACCGGTTATTTGTCGATGGATTTGCGCGAAAATCGGTATGTAGGGGTATTTTGACACGAGAAAAACGAATTTGACGTTAGATTTTCAAAAAAACCGAAATTTCCAAAATGGCCGCCGGTTAAAGTTCAAAATGACCAAAAATTGATTTTTTTAGAAATCTAAGTTCAAATTTGTTTATCTTATGCCAAAATACTCTCAAATTCCAAGTTTTAGGAAAATTCATCAGGAAAAAAACGAGGTGACAATTTTCGGCCATTTTAAACTTTAACCGACGGCCATTTTGGAAATTTTGATTTTTTTGAAAATCTAACGTCAAATTCGTTTTTCTCGTGTCAAAATACCCCTACATACCGATTTTCGCGCAAATCCATCGACAAATAACCGGTGTGAATTTTCAGCCATTTTGAACTTTAACCGGCCGCCATTTTGAAACGGTTTGAGATATTGACTTCGGGTTTGTGCGAAAAGTTTTCTTTTTTTATGTTCTTTCGAACGAGCTATCACAAAGGGGGTCTTCCCATTTGAAAATTAAAAGTTGGGGGCCGTTGCCCCCCCAAGGGGGGCCCCCCTGAAAATTTTAGGGGGACCAAAAAGTAGCTCCCTTTGACCTAGGAATATCCCCCAAGTTTCAAATCTTTATCTCAATTAGGTAAAAAGTTAGAGGGGGTGGAAGGGACTTTTGGATCACCCTGTAGAATGTGAACTAAGGGGAAACATAACCTCACTTTCGGGCCTTGCTTCGATACATTGACGATGACTAATTGGATTGCATTTTGCAAAAAGGAACCACTAGCATTGCAATGTTGCTAAGATTGTGCTACTTCTTTTGTCTTGGAGGAAAAACCCGATTATCCATTAATAGTTTCTATTTTACTCGCAAAAAACTGTAAATTTAAGACAAATTTATCATCTAAATTTCATAGTTTTTCACGATTTCCGCAATTTTATTGCAAAAGATGAAGTTGCACAATCTTAGCATCATTGCAATGCTAGCGGTTCCTTTTTGCAAAATGCAATCTGGTTTATCCGATGCGATATTCGGGATTTACCAGATAGAAACGTACAGTTGAGGATATATAGAACTCATAATCGCAAAAAACTCCGGCAGAAACTGTCTAAAATTACCCGAAGTCAGCGTTTGAAAATTGACTTTCAGTTCCTCACGGGAAATCCCATGTAACCGACCGAATCCCGATTAAGGCACCAGGCCTGAAATCGCGATACATCTCGAAATGTAACGTCATCTCTAAAAACGTCTATGACTGTTTTTGCCATGGCATTTTTGTTTCTGGCTTTCATTTTTAATTAGCCTTCTCTTAACTTGGCAACAATGTAATGAAACCATATGATTTAATTTTCACTGAAGGGGCAGATACACCTGCGAGCTATATATAAAAAAAAAATAGACGCGCGTCTTGAGTGGCCATGGAAGGCCTTATAGGCCATTAAATATGCTCAAATCTTAATCTTAGTCACTAAGAATTAATTGAACAATTTATTAAATCACGTCGGGGTCACCATGCGTTTTCTTACTTTTAGAAATAATAGCACTTGCATGTACAAACTGCACACAAAAACTGTATTGCGAAGTAGCAACAACTCAAATGAAGGGGTCTAAATTCGATTTACAGTAAAGTATAATTTTTCATTTTCTTTTAGAAGTAGCAAGACAATTTGGTTCACTAAGTTTAAGACTTTGGCCGGATTCTTTACCCCTCTAAATCTGAGGTTTTTAGGGGTTTTTGCATTTTATATCAGGTGGTTTTTGGAATGATGTGAAGCTAATTAGACATTTGGCTGGAGACGGAGAATCTAAAAATAATATTTTCAATCAGCAGAACTGGAACTACTTGTTGGATCATCTAAAAATTAAAAGGTGGTGATTGAGTTTGCGATCAATAAAGGTTAATGTTTTAGTTGGTTTAAACTTCAGTCACCAAAATAGGGTACATTAATGTTATTAAAACTGATGGATTAGCATTCATCTGTCATAGTGTAGGCTAATTAGAATGAACTTCTTTTGCGGCATAAATTATCCCTTTCTCTTGAAGTTTCAACATTAATTCTGAAATTTTTACTACTTCTATCTCAACTGTTTGACATACTTACATTCAGCCTTTAAAAGTTTCGATTAAATAACAGT